CTCACATACCTCAGCAACCTAGTAATACTCTTCCAGTGTTCAGAACTAGGTTTACTAGTGTATCTACTTAGTCTACTCACAACATATGCTAAGTCAGGTCTGGTACAACTCATTAGATACATCAAACTGCCAATAATTCTTGAATATTCCACTTGATTAACACTATCACCTCTATTTTCACGTAGATGTTGACTAGTGTCAATTGGAGTTCTAGCTATGCTAGTATCTCCCTTAGCAAATTTTTCTAGAATTTTATCCACATAGTGTGTTTGACTCAAAATCAAACCACTTTGGGTTCTTGTGATCTTCACTCCAAGAATCACATCTGCTAAACCCATATCTTTCATGTCGAACCTGGATTTCAACATATCCTTCGTGGATCTTATTATCTTGTCATCACTACCAATGATAAGCATATCATCAACATACAAACACAATATGACATATCCATGAGTGGTGTTTTCACATAGATACACTTATCACACTCATTGATGCTAAAGCCACTTTCCATCCTGACTTGATCAAACTTTTGATGCCATTGTTTCGGAGCTTGTTTTAATCCATATAGAGACTTAACAAGTTTACAAACCTTGTTCTCCTGTCCTGAGGCAATGAATCCTTCAGGTTGCTCCATATAAATTTCTTCTTCCAACTCCCCATTTAGGAAAGCTGTTTTCACATCCATTTGATGAACTTGCAAGTTTCTGATAGCTGCAATGGCAAGAACTAATCTAATGGATGTTATCTCCGTTACCGACGAATAGGTATCAAAGTCGTCTAGACCTTCCTTTTGTCTATAACCTTTGATTACTAGTCTTGCCTTGTATTTATCAATATTGCCATCAGGTTTCATCTTTCTCTTAAAGATCCAACGGTAACCTAGTGGCTTGCTACATGGAGGTAGATCTACTAGTTCCCATGTATGATTTTGTAAGATAGATTCTACCTCATTTTTGATGGCTTCTTTCCATCGAGGTCCTTCAGAAGAAGTTACCGCCTCTTGGTAGGTTTTAGGTTCACTTTCCACCACATAGGTGAAAAAATCATCACCATATGATTTTTCAACTCTAGCCCTCTTACTTCTTCTGGGTTCTATATCTTCCTCCTCGGATTGAGCTTGTTCTTCCTCTCGAACAGCTTCGTTATTTGGTAAAGATGGGCTTTTAACTTCCTTGTTCAAACAAGGAAACACATCTTTAAAGAATGAAGCATTCCTTGATTCCATTATGGTATTCTTGTGTATTTCAGGATTCTTAGAATCATGCACAAAGAACTGATAAGCACTACTACTTTGTGCATACCCAATGAATACACAATCCACTGTTTTAGGCCCTAACTTTTGTACCTTAGGTGGTGGCACTACCACTTTAGCTAGGCACCCCCACACTCGTAAGTACTTATACGATGGCTTTCTACCCATCCAAAGTTCATACGATGTTTCATTCTTTTCTTTGCAAGGTATCTTATTTAAAAGATAGTTAGCTGACAAAATAGCTTCCCCCCACATTGACTGGTTTGCACATGAACTAATTATCATGGCATTGATCATTTCTTTCAAGGTACGGTTCTTTCTTTCAGCAATTCCATTGGATTGAGGTGAATAGGGTGATGTAAATTGATGACGAATTCCATTTTTAGCACAAAAATCAGCATAGGGAGAAACATATTCCCCACCCCTATCACTTCTAACCACTTTAATTCTCTTGTTGAGTTGATTCTCAACTTCATTTTTGTACAAGACAAACTTGTCTATTGCTTCATCTTTACTCTTAAGTAAATATATGTAGCAATATTTCGTGCTATCATCGATGAATGTAATGAAGTATTTGTTCCCACCTTGAGTAGGAATTGACTTTAGATCACACACATCAGTGTGAATTAAATCACGAGGTTTGGTGTTTCTTTTTATTGTTTGGAAAGACAATCTAGTTTGTTTAGCTTCAACACATGTGGGGCATTTGTGATTTGAGTCAATATTAAGTTTTGGTATGTATTCTAGTTTAATTAATCGCTTAATTGAATTGTAATTTACATGTCCTAAGCGACCATGCCAAACATTTGAACACTCAAGCAAATAAGAAGAACTAGAACTTTCATTATTCATTTTGTTTGTCACCATTGCATTCAATTTGAACATGCCATTTAAGGCATATCCTTTTCCCACAAACATACCATTTTTGGACAAAACAAACTTGTCCGAATCAAACACTAGCTTAAAACCAAATTGGTTCAACAAACTACTCGACACTAGATTCTTACGAAGTTCAGGAACATATAAGACATCCTTAAGCTTCAATTCTTTCCCCGAAGTCATTTTTAGAATGACATCACCAACACCTTTGATATCCGCGGTAGCAGCATTTCCCATGTAGATCTTTTCACCATCTTCAACTTCTTTGTAAGTGTTGAAAACACTTTTATCATGACACACATGACGAGTAGCTCCCGTGTCAATCCGCCACTCCTTTGAATTTGTATTCATAAGATTCACTTCAGAAATCAAAGTTGTGAGATCAGTTATCATGGCCACCAACTCCATGTTATCATTCACCATGTTTGCTTGACGGTTTTCCCTCTTAGGTTGAGGGCACTCCGAAGCCTTGTGACCCGGTTGGCCACAATTATAGCACTTGAACTTCTTCTTGAAAGTTCCTGCCTTGGGGCCTAGGTTTTTGCCCTTTGCTTTCCCTTTGTGAGGTCCCTTGCCTTTGCTTTTGGAAGTTTGACCAGCTTCCACCATATGAACCTTAGAAGATTCAACTTCACTGCCTTTCTTCAAGGCCATTCTATTGTCTTCTTCAATGCGAAGACGCACCACCAGTTCCTCCACAGACATCTCCTTTCGCTTATGCTTAAGGTAATTTTTGAAGTCTATCCAACCATAAGGAAGCTTTTCAACCATTGATGCAACTTGGAATGATTCATTAAGATCCATCCCTTCTGCATTGTTATCATGTATGATGACCTGAAGGTCTTGGACTTGACTCATAACAGATTTCAAGTCAACCATTTTGTTTTCCAAGAACTTAGCAACAATATGCTTCTTAGTTCCAGCATCTTCTGTCTTATACTTCCTTTCCAACGACTCCCATAGTTCCTTAGCATTTGCAACTTTACAATAAACATTGTAAAGTGCATCTGTTAGCCCATTCAACACATAGTTGTGGCACAAAAATTCTGAATGCTTCCATGCATCCACAAAAGTCACAGATTGAGCATCAGCCTGCCCCTCAGCAATTACAGGAGCAATTTCTGTTAGGAACCGAGCCATATTCAAGGTGGTCAAGTAGAACAGCATCTTCTGTTGCCACCTCTTGAAGTTCAGACCAGAAAATTTTCCAGATCTTTCAGCATGATTAGCCATGATGTTTGGAACCGGTGCATTTGAGTTCACAGCAGGGGTAACACCAACAGCAGGAGTTCCAGTACCAACGGGAGTTGCAGACATTCTGAAAGAATCGTAACGACAATCAAATATATTATTACAAGGAAAAAAAACAATAGAAACTCGATTTTAGAATAAAAGAACAGAAAAAGAACCCCCAAAAAAAATGGATACGTGAATAAATGTTTGTAAAAACGTGATACGTGAATAAATGTTGTAGCTACTGAAACTTTAAGTTTTTAGGTTGATAATTCGAATTAATATATAATTTAAACTTCAAAGCCACCAACTTAACCAACCTAAAAAAAATTGACATTGTTAGTTGACAATTCTATTCGCTTCCACAACAAACTATTACTTTAAAAAACCAATTACATATATTCAGTTTTTCAAGAATAGAAATCTAGATTTCAAGATCCTCTAAATAATTTTTGAAAAACTCTTCACAATAGACCAAAAATGGATACAAATGTTGAATTTAGTTAGTCGAGAGTATCACTCTAAAATGTCATTGTTAATTTGGAATAAACTCATGTCACATATGAAATATTGGATGTTAGATTTTGAAATACTTTTATACCAATTATTTATTGACTCTGAAATGTACTTAAATAGTTTGAAAAGTGACATTTTAGGGGAAAAAATGTTATTTTAACAAAAATTGTTAATAAAATTGTTTATAAAAGTTAGTTTAGTTATATCTCAATCAAGGTTGTCAAGATCGGGATCCTACTTACGATAAATTTTGGGTTTGCAAGATTGAGATCGTAAGATCGGAATCGAGATCCTAAGATCCCACAAAATAGAATATAATTTTAATTTATAATATTTAATCATGAAAACTATTTCAAACATTTAGTTTTTCATTCAAAAGTTATAAAAACTTCAAAATATTAGTCATAAGTCACAATAAAAAATGATAAATGGTAGATTGGTAAAAGATAAAAGACATAAAGTGGTAAAAAAAAATTCATTTGCAAAAAAAAAAAAAATAATAAAAAAATAAAATAAATAAAGAAAGGTAGGATCGGATCGGATCTCGATCCTACGATCCTACCTACGATCTTACGATCTTACCTGCGATCCTACCCCAAATACGATCATTTTACGATCCGGATCGTTTTTCATACCTAGGATCGTAGGATCGTACGATCCTACGATCAGGATCGCGATTTTGACAACTATGATCTCAATTAAATGACCATGAGAATTAATAAGATGAAAATGACTAATGGAATATTGGAATGGGATATAGATATTAGTTTTTAAGGAAATAATTTTAAGATTGCCATAAGAAGAATTATGATAATGATTTATTGACGTACACCCACGTCTCTTGTTAAAAAAAAATTAAAATATTTAAAATGTGAAAAATAAATAAAACATACAGCGAATGCTCCGCTGGTATATAGGTCACACACAGACAATTAAACCGTCAAATTTGTCTGCCCAACAAAAAACAATCAGAAATTCGAATTGGAAAACCCCAAAATCTGCTCCGATCTCCGTCAATCTTCCATAATTCTATTGAAATTTCACCCCCCTCCAACTCCGATACGATCTCTGGTGTCGCTGGGTTGATACACCAGAGGTCGACGCAAATATTGTGCCCGGCATGGCCTCTTCGGCGGCCAAATCCTTATTCGGGAAGTATGATGTCGGAAAACTCCTCGGCTGCGGCGCTTTCGCTAAGGTGTACCATGCTAGGGACATCAAAAATGGTCACAGCGTTGCTATTAAGGTAATCAATAAGCATAAAATCGCTCATAACGCTCATCTTGTGTCGAACGTGAAGCGCGAGATCGATATTATGCGGCGGCTCCGGCATCCGAACATTGTTAAATTGTATGAAGTTATGGCGACGAAGACGAAGATCTATTTCGTGATGGAGTTTGTTAAAGGCGGTGAGTTGTTCGCCAAGGTTGCGAAAGGTCGTTTATCTGAATCGCATAGCCGGAAGTACTTTCAACAATTGATCTCTGCCATCGGATATTGTCATTCTCGTGGAGTTTATCATAGAGATCTGAAACCTGAGAATCTCCTCATCGACGAGAACGGAGATCTGAAGGTTACGGATTTTGGGTTGAGTGCTGTTACAGGTCAGATCCGAGCCGATGGCTTGTTACATACACTGTGTGGCACGCCATCGTACGTCGCACCGGAAATTCTCACGAAGAGAGGGTATGACGGAGCGAAGGCGGATATCTGGTCATGCGGTGTCATCCTGTTCGTGTTGAACGCTGCTTTCCTGCCGTTCAATGACGCAAACCTCATGATGATGTATAAGAAGATCTACAAAGGCGAATACAAGTGCCCTAAATGGATGTCACATGATCTCAAGCGGTTTTTATCTCGTCTTCTTGACACAAAACCAGAGACGAGGATCACCGTCGATGAGATCAAAACCGATCCGTGGTTCAGGAAAGGATACAAAGAATTAAAGCTAGAAGACGACATACAAATTGTCGGCAGACCAGAAGAAGACGATAAATCAACGTCGTTGAACGCCTTCGATATAATATCATTTTCCTCCGGTTTAAACCTCTCTCCTTTGTTTGATGGCACAAGTTGCTCACCGGGAAAAGGTGAAAGGCTGGTGGTGGCCGAGTCGCCGGAGAAAATCATCGAGAAAGTTGAGGAGATTGTAAAGGAGGCAAACGTGAGGATCCAGAAACGAAAGGAATGGGGTGTCGATTTGGTAAACCGGAATGGTAAGTACGCAATCGGATTGGAGGTTTTCCGGTTGACGGAAAACTTAGTGGTGGTGGAGGTTCAAAGTAGCGGTGGAGGTACAGATTTCTACGATGAGTTGTGGAATAACAAAATTAGATCGGAGTTGTTTGATCGGCGGCATGTACAGGTACCGACAACTAGTGGCTCGCCGGCGGGGTACGTGTCGGAAGTATGTACCTGATCCTTCGTATATTTACTCACATCTTTGTTTTTTTTCAAATAATTTTTTTGTACCTTGTAGGAAAAAAACATAGCTTTTGTTAGTTTGTTGATGGAGAAAATTGTAATTTATGATTTTGTACATTACATGACACTTGCCACATAAATATTTGGGGGCAATTGTAAGTTTGGTTTTGTGTTGTAAAACAGATGTTGTATGGGCTTTGTGATGCTACAACAAGAAATAAAGAAAGCTGATTTTTTGTTTCCATTAAAGATTTACTAATTTACCGATTAGGGAAGAGGTGATTTTTTGCCTAATTTACCGATTAGGCAAGATCGTGTGTGTGCCATGATGATAAATGAAGAGCAAATTATTACAAATGTTGCTTTTAAAACCCCTTGTGATGTGATATTAACACATTGATAGTGCTTGTTTAACATTGTATAAAGATTTGCGAATTTATACATGTGTTTGGTTTATTGTGTCAACAAATCGTGGAAGTTGGTGAATATAAAGTGCCTCGTAAAGGTTGCAATGTAGAAATGCAATTTTGATATCGGATTGATAAATATGCGGCGAATAAGAGATGATCATGCTAAAATGGTGTGGATTGTGGTCTATTTAACCACCAAACTAAACATCTCATCATAATCGACACTTATTGCTTATGTCTTGTGGATGACCACTAAAATGGTTTACAATGTTAGAGTGACCCATTAGAGTTGAATTTGTGTCATTATAGCCACATTTAAATTGTAATGAATGATTGGTCTATATGTGGGTATGGGTACCAAATCTCGTATCTAAATTTCACTTAATCCCTTAAATTCTTCGTGCATGGCTGCATTGCGACGACTGTGAGTAAAAGGGAAATAAGTAATATGGTTGAGTTTTGGAGGTTTCATGGTTGCTAGTGTCACACCCCCAAACCGGAACGGTGGAAACGTTCGGGGTTTGTGCATATCATGTACAGTATCACAACAATTGTATAATAGTAAAGTAAAAGACAACCATTGCATTGATAAAAATTGTTTACATTGTATTTGCTACATTGTTTGTATAACATCAAAATATATATCAAAAACTCTAGACGAGACACCATAGATGCTCCGTCTTCTCAAAAACCTGTAGTGTACATGTCTATTGGTTTCCTGAGAATACAAGTAAATTTGAAGGTGTATCAATATTTAAGTTGGTGAGTTCATAAGTATGTTTTTGAAATGGAAAACTTGTTATTATTCCTTGAAATGTGTTAACATGTTCCTCCAGAAAATCCAATATTTTCTTTAGTAATGAAAAGTAGTCTTAGGCCTTAAGACTAAAATGTATGTTTGTTACTGTACTCTGTAATATTATATGTAGTCTTATTAATGAATAAAATCATATCATATATGTTTTCCCTAAACTGTATGTAGTACCAGTTGATGGGTTTTACACAAAATAACATCTTATGTGCTAATGCAAACCCTAATGCTTGGATCTAGGCTTCTCTATTGTACATGTTATTCATCCAAGACTTGCAAACCCTAGATCTAGTGTATATAATCAAAACAAACATAACAAATCAGATCTAGATGATTACATCTTGTTGAAAGCTTGAATCTTCTTGTCCTTGGAGCTTAGAGTCACAAATCTCACTCCTCTAATGGCTTATTGTGACATCCCCATTTTCACGGCCAGAAAAGACCGATTTTGTTTATGCTTGTTTGAAAATCATATTAGCATTTTAAGTAAAAGTGTTGCGGAATTTATCCCAAAAAAAAATATGATAAAGATTTATCAAAAACATTTCCAAAGAAATGTATTTCATTAAAAGACTCGGGATGTCATGTTCGATACATATCAAAAGCATAACCAGTACAACATAAGCCTTACTACATTATTTCGTATTTACAAGACTATAATCCCTTATCTCTCATCCAAACATTTATGCTTATGTGCTACCTGTAATGCAAGAAACTGAGTGGGTCAGGCTTGGGAGCCTGGTGAGCACATAGGGTTTTCAACCCACAATAAATAAGTTTATTAACTTTATCAAACCAAACAAACCCGATTGCCCGTTCCCGTTATCCTCACTTTACGTCCCTAAAACATCTAACACAAGGGACTTAGTCTAAGGATTTTCATCGGGGTGACAACACATGCTTCGGGGATTCCTCAGCAATTCATGTCAAATAAGGCAACCATGTGGAGGATGGAGTACTATTGGTAAACACATAGTTCAAATAAACACCTACAGGTTGCGAGTCTGCTAGCGTTTCACTGGACTGTCTAGAATAGTCCGTGGTCGTCATCTATACTCCGCTAGATGACTGGATCATCAATAACATCTATAACGAGGCCTCTCATTATTTTATTTGGTCATACAACAACTATTACATCTACCCATGTTTTACCCAACACATTTTGTAGATATATAAAATACATATACAATTTAAATCATTTAAAACATGTATAACATCATCCATAAAACATAGATAGCAAGTATACAGATAATATGCACACACAACACGTAATTTATATAAAATACTTCATATCTATGTGTAAGATGAAAGTAACTAGGCACTCACCTGATAAGGTTATGATTTTGTCTATATACTTGCCGTCTATGAAGTATTTAATATAAATTACATGCTATGTGTGCATATTGTCTATATACTTGCCGTCTATGCTGGGTGAATGATTTTTATATATGTTTTAAATGATTTATAAACTGTATATGTATTTTATATCTACAGAATGTGCTGGGTAAAACATGGGTAGATGAAATAGTTGTTGTGTGGCAAAAACAAAATAATGAGAGGTGATATAGACCATGAGATAAGGGTGAGAGGTGAACCATGACAGAAGCCTTTTACCTAAGTGTTGGCCCTGTCATCCAGCAGAGTATGGATGATAACCACGGACTATTCTAGACAGTCCAGTGGAACACTAGCAGGCTTGCAACTTGTAGGTGTTATTTGAAGTGTGTATTCACCAGTTGTACTCTAAAAACCCATTGACATGTATTGCGAGTGGATTTTCGGAAACAATATTGTCGATAAACGAGATAAAAACCCATTGACATGTATTGCAAGTGGATTCTCATAAATGATACTGTCGATAAACGAGTTAACCCTGGCAGCTATGGATTTAGTGCCTGATGAGCAAACCCTGACAACTATGGATTTAGTGTCTGTTTAGTAAACCCTAGCAACGATGGATTTCGTGCCTATTCCTTAGGATAATCCTTAGGAAAGAATGAACGAGGAATAGCTGATTCTTAGGGTAAATCCTTAAGAGTAAAGAAGATAATGGGGATGGGTAATTAAGTTAATGGTTAATGATTAAACATAATAATTATATTATTATGGGTTGAAAACCCTATGTACTCACCAGGTTTCCCAACCTGACCCACTCAGTTTATTTATATCACAGGTGTTGATATGAAGTCACATTACACTTAGAGATTAATGAGATATAAATCACTAGTGATAATGAATGTAAGTTCTTTTTATGCTTATGTTTCTGTATTGATGATGACATCCCAAATGTTTTAAAATGAATAAAAATACTTTTCTTCATGAATGCCTTGATAACGTATTTATCATGTTTTACTAGGAACAAATTCCACCATTCTACCACCACCAGCCGCCACTTCGGGTTGTTGTGTGTATGTTTGGGTGTTGGATTAACTTTTCGTGTAAACCAAGAGGCTTTGGATGGTGTTTGGACCTAAAATTTATGACTCTCGCCTCGGATCGCCGCCAAACACCATTGTCTAAGGTGGCATTGGGTGGTGCCTGACTTTTTAAACATTAAATTACATAAACAGTTAAATTTAGCCCGAGTGGCACGAGTTTGGGGTTGGAAACCTTAATTAGGGTTTAGAAAACCCTATTTTGGAGTTGGTTGGGACACGCGTTAAAGCTGTTAATTAAACTTTAAATAATACTTAATAATGCCCCTACAATTAACTTAATGTAATATTAGACTTAATGGATTAAGTCCTTAAGGGGTTAAGTGTGGAACACTAACCCTAGTTATCATTTTATCTAAAAATCCCCTAGAATCGGGGTTCTCTGTTTTAGACAATGATCGGGCGCGTATTTGGGCTATTGATAGGATTATTATTATACCCGAGAATGACTAAGTCAAACCTTAACCAGTCCTACCCTTAGGTGATTAAGTACTGAATGGGTTAAGTGTTCTTACTTAACCTTAATCGTCATTTTATGTGAAACCCTAATTGCTATTTCATGTGAGGCGGTCACTGTTGCAAGTGACTATGACCTATGATTGGGTATTGACTCAAGAATCTTTTTGTAGGTGATTGGAAGTGAGTTTAAGCTGGTAGAGTTATTCGTTGCTACAGTGGTTATTTACACGCATATTAAGGTGAGTTTCTCCTTACGGTACCCGTGGGTCGAAAGAAACAATGTCGGCCCACTTGTTTTGGTTATCTGCTAGTAGAAGGATGCACTTGGGACTGTATATAGTCATGTAGGATAGCTTGATGACTTTTGATCTAAGATCTCTTACTTGTTCCTTGTTGTTTGTGGTTCTAGAGTAGGATCACATGTCCAGGTGACTATCTCACATCTGAGTAGATTCCACCATGCATCCGTTGACCCCATACCAGGTGGGGTCTGATGAGTATATTGTATGCTAGTTATCTGTATGTGTTTTTATGATTATCGGGTACGACTCGATGTTGGGCGGGGCCCGAAGGCTAGTATGTATGCTATTTATCTCTGTGATTATGGCATGTGTTGTGTGTTTATATGTTTATATATTTATACCAGGTGGGGCCCGATGCCAGGCAGGGCCTGATGACTGACAGAGTTGTATATTGAGCGGGGCTTGATGCCAGGAGTGCCCCATGCTAGATGGGCCCCGATGTCGGACGGGGTCCAATGTCGGGCGAGACCCGATTACAGGTGGGGCCCAGTTTATGTTGATATGTGGTATTTGGGGGAAACTCACTAAGTTTTATGCTTATCCAGATGCTTATTCTTTCAGGTATCGTTGGAGTGTATGGGAAGGCGAAAGGCGGGAAAGTACACACGCATCAACAACATTGAGGATTTCCCATTTTCTATAAAACTCTTATTTTGAATAAACGTAAATTGGAATAAATGGTTTTCTTAATAATGGATTTATAAATTGAAAAGTTTTCACCTTAATAAAAATGAGAAATTTTAGTTATGAAAATGGGACGTTACACTTACGGTTTGAACTACCACCAAATGATGTTGTAGACAAACAAAATCTC